CTTCTGCTTGGTAAAACCATAAACCAAAAGAAAACAAACATTCCTTCCAACCTTTGCACGGAGTGTGATTCTTAGAGCACGCAGACGGTACAACACTGATTTATTACCCAGGGTGCAATGGATGTTTAGTTGGCTTACTTTGTGTTGTAGTTGTAATAAAAGCTCTCCAGTAACAGAGACAGGGAGGAGCTGTGCTCTGATCTGAAATCTGTGTGGTTAGTATGTAAGAGCTCTCAGTGTTATCATTTCTCCTTGGCACTTCACATGCTTCACCTCCTACAAAAAGTAAGCAAAGGTCAATCCATGTTAAACACTTGAGTGACGTACACAACGTCTTTAAAGAATCTAAAGTAGGCATTCTCTGATTTGATCGAGTATTTCAAAACACATAATCGTCATCATTTAACTGTTGCCATTTGTTTTTATGAGATTTGAAATGATATTTATGTTATCTGAGGTTGGCACGAGTTGAAGGCATTTGGCTGAGGATAGAGGTGGAGATGGATGACTGCACATGTGGTGCTTTGTTAGTCTGCTGTTCTCTGCAGCACCGTCAGGACTATCATTTAGCCCTATCAAATGAGTTCAAATGGTAAACTAGAGCCACCGCTTATCTCACCAGAGGCCTGTACTACGAAGCCGGATTTTTGCCTAGCGAACTAACTTCAGGGTAAACTCTGGGTTTCCGGTCCTACGACGCTGGTTCTCTTCTTACTGGGGTAGATCTCCATGGTAACTTATGCTGAGCGGCAAACCTGCTCCGGAGCAGGTTAGGTTCCAGGATAAGAGATCAACTCAGTGAAAGCACCGCCTGCTGACCAATCAGAGCTCAGTGTGCGGAGGAAATACAGTTTAAACTGCCGTTGCAGGAAAGACGGCCGGCAAAAATCAACTGACTGAATGTGAAAATGAATAGAATCTTCAGAGCAATCTGACTATTATAACATTAGCGTTAAGAAAGCTTACTTAAATATCTGCCACAACATAAGTCACCGGATCAGAGTAACGTTACGTACAGTCCACGGCACTGAGTGCAGACGTCGATGTGTCCCACTATCATTCATATCACATCATAATGTATCATATATCTCCTTATCTGAGTCAGCTTCTTGAGCCGTATCTGGCCGTGCAACACTCAGTGTCACATACTGTATGCAGAAGTATTATTTTAAGCAATGCATTAAGTTGACGAAACACTCGAGTCAAATGTAATTAAAGTCAGATCGTGTTTTAGACGGGGCAGTGATATCATAAACCTGTTAATGTACGCATTCAAACACTTTTTCTGTTGCCAGCTGTATTCACCTCGCAGGTGCAGCTATGTGGCTTTGATCCTGGATAAAGTGTTTAAGTCATGGATGTTTAAAGTTTAACTTCTTCATATTTGACTAATATTAAAGTTCACTTTTCATTCAGGAAGTATGAGGCTGCGCTGTCGGTACGCTTCTCCATGTTTGTGATTGGTCAAATGTTGCTAACCCCGCCCCTTTGTGAACGCGCACTCAGCCAGACAGAGAAACCCTGGCTTGAGTTACCGAGTTGATAACCAGCGTCGTAGGACCGCTTAGCGAGAGCGCCTTTGTTTTGGGTTAGTTAAGCCAGATAACTCAAACATATCCAGGGTCTGTTGAACTGGATTCGTCGTACAGGCCACTGGTAGAGAAACACGAGAAGCAGATTCAGCCTGTGGACGCTTTATGTGATTCTTCCCCTTTCAATTCTGTTTCTCTAATAAAGGCGAAAGTTGCCCAAAAATAGGAGCCACAAGATGTTCTATTCACATGGCAAACGGATGAGATTGTTAAAGTAGAAACTAACCTGAAGTGGATTTTGAGATATTCAGCCTATCTATCCTGAGTTTATCTACTTAAATGATTTACATTAACAAATAAATAAGACCCTGATAATATGTTGTGGTTATAGCTGTAATATTGACAGAAATGTATATAGTTTTAATAATCAGAAGAATCAAAAAAATATAAATACCATATATTTACTGCATTTCTAAAAGCCTGCATAACAAGGTCTGCTCATCTGTTGTTCTGTTCCTCATGAGCAGCAGCGAGGTAAACAGTGGAGTCTGCTGGACAAACTCAGTAATGATCGCACTTCAAAGTATTACAAGCTTAATATATATATATATATATATAATATAATTAATATCAACGTCCATACACAAATGTCAGTATTATAATGACAGGTTATGCAATGAGAATATACATTTAAAGTTACAATGTTCCGCGCTACTCAAACAACAAACATCTCAACCCCCAAATTACGCAAAACTACCTTCAACACACGCATATGCTTAATCTTTAAAACATTTTGATCTGTATATTTTCTGTTTCATTTTATTTGTTGGTCCGGGATTATTATTATTATTCCGGCCTACGTACTTGACTGTTACATTTTTACCTTGTGACTTGAAATATTATTTTGTATAGCTTTTGAAACCTATTTATCATAAAGTCTGTTATTATTTTTGTCATACAAATTGAGGTTCTTTGAGAGAACATTTTAAATATGTTTTTTTTTTTTTTTTTTTAAAAAGGTCGGCCCCCCCATCC